CCCTGCAGTTCACTCTCCCCGGGTAAGCAATGTTCCCCGAGCACAGCTCGGCGCGGCCCCTGCACACCCTGGGGAGGGAAGCGCCGCTCAGACACGCAGAAACCCCACGGACGCCGTGGAGCCGGGCAGGGGCTGTACCTATGGGGTGAATCACCGGAGGGGCCACCCCACGGCACGGGACCAAGGCCTGGCTCCATCGGCTGCTCGAGGGTCACGGCGAACGCCGTCGCTGTGCTCAAGGCTTAGAAACGCAGGCGGAGAGGCTCCTCTTGCTGAAGGTTTACAGGGCCATTACTGCTGTAATTAATCACCAGTTCATTTGGATGCCGAGATAAGAAGAAAGGCTGGAGTGCCCAATTAACTGACTAACTACAGCCTGCCTCCCCACTATCCTCGTGTGAGACGGCCCTCAGCGGGTCTCATCTGCCCTTACACATGCCAATTTTAAGGATTCTTTAAAAGCAATACAGCGACGTGAAAAAATATTAGATTGTATAAGCTCTTTAAAATTTCCTAAGTATTTATGGAAAGATGCACTTCAGCTTCCCTTCAGATGGATTCTTTATATTTAATGTCCATAACTTTTATTCCTTCCAGTTTTCCAAGTTTTTCACACCAACTGGCAGTACGTCGGGCCGCATTTATTTCTGAATCAAAGCAGCTACCGGTTCCTATCGCTCTGCGACAGCTCACACCCAAGAGATCGTGCCCTGGCATTTCAGGCAGAGACCGCAGACTCGGGGATCTCACCATTAATTGTGCCGATTACAGAGCAGGACTCCCTGGGAGTAACAACTCACATCAGGTTTGTGGTCATCAAACCACCCATTTACTCGCTCAGCTCGAGTATGTGATATTATTCGCAGGCTGACCTGTCATCTGTAAGAGTTTCCAGTTGACTTTGGCTTGTGTTTCCACAACGGAGATTAAAAAACACTCCCACGGAAGATGCGGGAAGCCACGGATACTCTCTGCTCAGTGGGACAAAATACAGGATCACAAACAACTTTTTACAGACGGTGTGGAAAATGGCGTTGCCGCTCGATATCCCTCGGGAGGACATCTGCGTGGCATCCTTCAGGAAGGGCTGTCTGCACCATCAGCTCCAGGGAACGTCACGGCAAAGCCCAGAGCATGGAGCAATGCAGCTTAACGTGTACCTGCAAATCCGTCTCCCGACGCCAGCAGCGTGGCCCGATCGCCCGAGGAAGGGTGACACAACCCAGCCCATCCTCTGATGCATGGTTCCGGCAGCACGTGCCAATTGCCAAGGGCCCTGGAAGGATTTTTTTAATCACACAGTAACACACCTTATCTTGGACGAACACATTCATAATGTACAAGTGTGACTCTCAAACTGGGTTTTGACAGGCTGAATGTTTACGCTTGCACCAAGAGAGCAGAGCGCGCCTGTCGTTCCGCCTCCTGTCTGAGCCGGGATTAAGGACACGCTCCCATTTCCAGATCCTGCCAGGCTATTTAAAATTAGCATTTTCCATTCTTTCAACCAACCCCACTTATGTTGCCTGAAGGTGATGACGCAGCGTTCGCAGTCACTCTGCCAGCAGAGCCTTGGGAACAGGAACTCCCCGCCACAGGTCCCTAACGCAGTCCCGTCCCTGTTGCAGCTATTTGTGAAGCGGATGCGTGCCAGGAGCCGGAGCGACGCTACCGCAGCGTGGACCACACCGATCGTGCTGCCGGGGCAATCGTGGGGGATCTCTCCCCCAGATCACGGGGAAGAGCCCGCGTGCGAAGAGACGATGTGAACACACATACGCACGCTGAAGCCCCTGGAGCAGCAAACCCGTGCTGAGCTCCAGGCCGTGAGTCCAGGCTGAGAAACGAAGAATCATGTCCAGAGTCCCCTCCGCCGAGCAGCGTGGAGCCCAGCCGCGGGCCGCGGCGCGGGCGGCTCCAGAGGCACTCGGAGGCAGAAGCGGGTTGGATCCCACGGGTGCGCACACAGAGTCCTTGCATGGGGCGCGATGAGCTGGCTGGTCGCCTTTTGCAGTCAGATGTTTTGCTAGACGTTTTGGCTTGGTGTTTTTTTAAACGCAGGAAGGGATCATCTGCTAACTCATCCATTCCCCACCCCAGGCCTGGGGGTCAGCTGCAAAGGGAAGCTGGCGGCTGCAGCACAAGGAGAGGTGCAAAAAGCTTTATCTCAATTTTCTACCTATTTCTGTGTCCCTCAGGTAACTTGAATTTTCTTCTTTCCTTTCCTTCACAGCCAAACGATAGGAAAAGCAAAGCCTCTCTGGAAAACCCTGTGTAAGCCAAGTGCCACATCCAACAGGTCAGCACTCCCCGAGCCCCTGCAGCTCGGTGAGTACTGT